TCATCTCCAACACTTCCTAGAGATCTACAACACTTTCACCATCAAGGGAGTAACCAAGGACGCCATACTACTTCGTCTTCTATACTTAATACCTGTAGTTACTGACGTAGCTCATTATTTACTATAACAATTCTTTAGGGGCTAATGCCCACCAATTGTTGTATAATTAACGATCAATCTATCCATTATGTATATTGCCCTTCTAGGTCATATACATGAGAAAAGACAACTAATGGTGGTATTGCGCTTTCAGGCATGTTAGGATTGGTGTGCATAAGTATGATAGAAAAAATATGGCATTTAGCCGTGGTTACCAAGTAGAAATTTTGGATGTAGAGTTATATCATAGTCTAGCTCTTTACTTTATTGCCCAAAATTTTGACCCAATTACTCATGCTATATAGTAAAAATTGAGTCATTCTATTTATTACAACATATTTCATGTTCTATAAAGCATGGCTTGGATCAATTCATTGTTCAGCATGAAGAGAAGCTTTTAAATAGAACAGATAAGACCAAGAATTTTCATTTATTTGAGAAATATTATTTTACTGCAAAGTCATTGACTTAAGCAAAAAAAATGCCGCTTTCACAAGAGCAACAATGACCAATATCCTTCTAGGATAAACTCTCGACTGATAGCGTAATTTTCGTAGGTAAAAGATACATGTAAGAAATATATGTAGTCGTCAAGATCCATGTGGCCGAGCCTAGGATAACTACTATGACCAATAAGATTTGAGATTCTAACTTGTTTACCTGCTTTCCATCTTCTGGTAGTTGGCAAGTAAATCTTAATAAGTAGGTGGGATGTGACATATACAGAGCTACTAGCCAATATATTGTCGCATAGAGTAGTCATGCTGCATAGCTGCCACTTTAATTATATTATCCTTTATGAGTGAACCCCATATCATTTGGCTTACTTTCCTATATACAATACAATGGTTCCCCTCTATGATGCTCACTATCATTTCAGTGACTATGGGTACTTCTAATTCTGTGTCCTGATATGCACTTCGGGGCTTCACTAGCCCAAGAAAGGACATACAATGTTCTTGATCGGGAAGAAGTATTGTGCTTTCACACTAATTAGGAAAAAAATCTCAGAATATTAATTCTTTTGGTATTTTTGTAGCAACTTCATGTCGCCTGGGGGAATGTATTATATATAAGCTTAAAGTCACAAAATGTTGGTTTGAAACAAACCTCAATTAGGATGACACCTGATGTTTGTTCTGCAGAAGAGAGAAAGGAACAAACACACCGACTTCAGATCTTGTGTTGACCTGACTAGCGTTATAAGCTTATATCAGCATGTTTGGCAAAAATACCAGGCAAGGTATTAGTTCCCCTCGAGCGAAGTTACAAATGAATCCCAATTGGAGATGTCTAATATACCAACAAGTCTCATGTATTGGTTTTTTCTTCAGGTTACTTCAGGACCTAGTTGTGGCTTCTACTGGTACTTAGTGTCTGTGTGAGACCTGAGAGTTGTGAGAGTGTGAGACTTGAGACTTGAGAGTGATCTGTTATCTGTATCTGAGACATTTGAACAATGATGAAAGACTTAACTAAGAGCTGTGCTGCACTCTTTTTCCCTTTCTAGGGTTTCTCACAAGGATGAGTTTTACCTAGAAAGGTTTTTAATGATGCAGCATTGCACAAACAACTCATTTATCTTAATTGTCTTGTCTGCTTTGGTGCTTTTGGTTAGAAGTTACAACTTAGAATCTATGATAAGTTTAGAATGTTATATTTGTGATTGTGAATGAGTTTGGCTAATGGCTTGTGAATGAGTGTGAATGAATATGTGCAACTATGAAAATTGAGAAGAGTGTGATGGGAGCAATATTTTGAGGTGTGTTAAGGTCACCGGGCCGTGGGCTGGCACGACACGGTGATTTGGTCGTGCTTAGCGGGCCGACATGGCACGATTTTCGGCCCGTAGTGCCGTGCTTGGGCCGAAGGCCAGGCACGAGGCCCGTGGAGGCACGGCACGGGAGGCACGGCGTGCCGTGCCGGCCCAACCCCCTTGCGGGCCGTGCCTGGCCCGTGCCCGTGTCGTGCCGGACCGAGCCAGCCCGGCCCGATGGACAACTATAGGGAGGGGAGGTGGGGAGGCCGGGCCGCTCTCGGGCCATAGCCTAAAGGCCGGGCTGGCACGCCGTGCCTTGGGTAAGGCCCAGGCACGACCTGCTCTGCCGGGCCGGGCACGCACACCACCGGACCGGGCCATGCTTGGGACGGGCCAAATTTGTGGGCTTCGTGCCGGGCCGCCGGGCCTTGGGCTGCATGGACATTTATACTTCAGGTAAACAAAACCAAAGCATTAAGGAGAGCGCTAGAGTAACGATTGGTCTTAGGATACATGTTTCATTTCCCAGAAATTTCCAAGCATATGTGTTTTTTCAGGGTATTTATATTGGCCTTGGTAATACTGCGGGATTACTATCCCATATAGTATTCACATACAAACAATGCAAGGAAAACATAAAGCCAATATAAAACTTCCAAGGGGTCTAAACCAATTTAACATAAATTTTATGGAAGCTCATAAATCTAGAAAATTTAGCGGCCTATGCTCTCTAGGCATGGCGGGTACAGCACCTTCGGGCCACGTGTACTATGATGCAAATGAGGCTGCGTTCGCTGGGTCAACGCATGCGTGAACACCTAGCAGGCGTGCAGTCACACGAGCTCAGTAGCCACCTTTCGGTGAAAAAAAATCTCGTTAAGTCACTAATGCACCGAAACATAGCAAGGGCCTGGTGGCAAATCGTCTCTGATCTATGTCGTGCAAAATAAGCCCCGGAGGGCAACCGTGATGACTGCAGGTCTCAGCAGCTACATGTTGCTTTATCTAGGTAATGACGAAACGATGGCAGGTCAGACTTCTGGTTCCGCTAGCATGAAAGACAACCTTAAAACAAAATCATTAGGCTGAGGAGCATTTCATCCGCCGTAGATATTTTAGGACTATCGGCTATCCGAGGGCCGACAACTCTCTATCGGTCGACCATCGGCCGATAAGCCCGTCGGTGGGCGCTGTGTAGAGACTAGTCGGCTTCTGGAACGCCGATAGGATCCTGTCGGCTCTCCAGTTGCCGATAGGTAACCTATCGGCAATCAAACGGCCGACAGACTACTACTCTTACCTGGCCGTTGCTGGTCTTCCTCTTGGCGTCCTCCCATGGCGCAGGCACCTGTGCCGAAGGCCCCATGTCCAGCTCTCCTCCAATCATCAATCAGCAATCGTCACTAGCAGATAAGAGCACAACATTCACCTGGTTCCTACTCATACTCGAGACAACCGAGCCGCATAAAAAGGTAAGGATTAAAAGAAACACATGCTACGTCCAAGACAAGACTCAATCAGGTAGCATGCAAGGCAAGTCTAATCACGCATGCTACGTGCAAGACAAGTCTAACCGGCGACCAATCTGCAGGGGTGCCAAATTACTCGCATGTATGTGAGGCAAGATGGTAATCAATAAAACATTTCGCAATCCTCTGAAAATGGAACCAACAGGGTTGCCAAAATGCTCGTACGTGATGAGCAGGAAGTTGCGCAGTTTCTGGTCGCAGCGTGGCCAACTGCGGGTGGTGCACGACGAGCGTGTAAAAACATGGTTAGCTGCATAAAAGGCAGTAAAAAAAAGAGATGCGCCCGTGGAAGAAAGGCTAGCTTAAATAAAGCAAATTAATCTACTGGATTAAAGACTTTATTATGGCACGTAGGTTGTACCATGCTCAATTCAGTGAGCACGTTGACCAAATGCTCGATTCAGGTAGCATGTTGACCGGCAGATTTGGAGAGGCCTCGATGCGGTGCCAAGCTCGTCGTGAGCGTTGTGCGAACCACCGTGGTTAGCTAGCTAGTCGCAGTGACCATCACATCACCACAGATCAAGTTCGGCCACTAGTAAGTAGCAGATCGTGTGATTGATTGTGCATCTAGCGAAAATCGTAATCTACTAGAAACTATTATATCTGCTGGATTTAATCTAGTAGAGAAACTCATCAAAAAAAATTTGACCATGCATACCGTAGCCTGTTTGTGATCTCTGATGCATTTCATGCCGCGTAGGGCGTATAGGCTTGGCCATTGACCTGCTTGTGTGACGACAAGTTGAGGCCGACCGAGATCGTAGCACGTTGCCCAGCATAACGTCGATGACGAGGTTGCACAGGTTGGCAACGACAAGGTTGCTGAAGTCCATGTCTTGTTCGTTGCAAGCATGAAGCATACATGGGTAAGATGCAAAATGCATCCACATGCATCGATGCATGATGTGACCCGGCCCTCTCTCGTAGATGTCCAGCCGGTGGCTGATTTTTTGCGCCGCCGTTCTTGCGTCCATTCGCTCACAGCGGATGGCGCGATGCCAGTTGGAAGAACCAGCCGACGCATCAATTGGAGAGAGGAAATGAAAAGATCAATTCATCATTAGCCATGGCAAAAACAAATTTGATCTAAACACAACGATCAAGAACGACACACCCAGCGGTAGAGCTACTGATAGCGTGTTAAGAATAGGCCCATTCACGGATTGCCACATCCGTTCTCCCCATTCCCGATCCCAAGAAAGAGGCGTGTAGAAGTTGTAGATAGATCTCGTCTTTCTCTCTCAATCATCAAGAACATCACACAAGAACACACGGAGACAAAGTATATGAGGGAGCTCATCTCTTCATTAGACATTATAGATACTAGTCGGCTCCTGGAAGGCCGATTGGTTCCTGTCGGCTATCCAGTTGCCTAGACAGACTACTACTCACATTCGTGCGGCCGTTGGTGGTCGCGTCCTCCCATGGCGCAGGCACCTGTGCCGACGACCCCATGTCCAGCTCTCCTCCAATCATCAATGCCGGGTGGCCACGGTTGGCAACCGTGGAGCCGCGCATGGTCCCTCCGATGCCAAGCCCAAGGAAGTCCAGCGTTGCAGCAGGCTTAGGACCGAACAGTGGTGTGGTGATGGTCCCATCATCAGGTCCGGCTAGCCTGAGTTTCCACTTTCGTATGCAAGGCCAAGGCCGAGACCGCCAGATAGCATGGCCCTGGACTCCCTCTCCATTTGCTGCTGGTTACTCCGGTGGTGCCGCTCCATCATCTCCATTTGCTGCTGGTTGCTCCTGTGTTGCGGCCACCGTTGCAAACTGGAATCCATCTCCATTTGCTGCTGATAGCCCCTGTGGTGCAGCCATCGTTGCGAACTGGACTCCATCTCCAACTGCATTTGCTGACTACTCCGGTAGCTCTCCAACCCCATCATCTGCTGCTCGTTCCGGTGGTGGTGCCATTGTTGCGGACTGGACTCCATCTCCCTTTGTTGATGACTCAGGTGGTGGCGCTCCATCTTCAGGCGGCGATGGCCGAGCGAGCAGCAGCGGCGGCGGCGGCGGCGCAGCGGTGAGAGAGAGAGAGAGAGAGAGAGTGCACGAGGGAGTTGAGAGAGAGCGCGCGCGATGGAGGAAGACGCCCAAGGTGGATATTTTAGACCTGTCGGCCAGCCCTGTCGGCCTTCCCTGGGCACGCATGCGTGAACACTTTGCAGGCGTGCAGTCACACAAGCTCAGTAGCCACCTTTCGGTGAAAAAATCTGTTTAAGTCACTAATACACCAACATAGCAAGGGCGTGGAGGCAAATCGTCTCTGATAGCGTGTTAAGAATCGGCCTATTCACGAGTTGCCACATCCGTTCTACCCATTCCCGATCCCAAGAAAGAGGCGTGTAGAAGTTATAGATAGATCTCGTCTTCCTCTCTCAATCCTCAAGAACATCACACAAGAACACACGGAGACGAAGTATATGAGGGGAGCTCATCTCTTCATTAGACATTATAGATACACATTAGTCCCTTTATATAGATGTAGCCTTGAGAGTATATAAGGTAGCCTCGGCATATGGTATGGACATATATGGTAGCCTCCAAGGCATATATGGTATGAGCCCATCAATCCTCTAATTGAGGAATTCTTAACACTTTTCACTGATCACTGATGCGCATTAGGGCTTTAACTGTGTGATCACTGCCTCCTGCATTAGGGCGTTCTCTCTCCCTCTTCATTTCATTCACTTCTTTGCGAGATTATGTTACTTTTCCTCTCGGTCACATTGTAAGTTCCATCGTTTACATATTCAATCATAAACCAACTTGATGATTTTTCCTATCCATTCACTAAAATCTTTAACTGAGTTTCATCTATTGATCTTCTAAGGAAACATAGACCTCTAAGGCGATTTTTATTATTTTTAACACTTTTTGTAAACTAATTTTAAATCTAACACTGTTTTTTCCCCCAAAACTAACACTTTTGGCCGAGCCTATTGCCATAGTGCGGCGGCACGGTAGGAGGTCGACGTGGCGAAGACCGCGGGCTGCTGACTGTTGACGTGGCAGGGGCTGTCGCGCCACCGATCTTCGCATGGCAGTGACGTGCCCTGATCCGTGGCGCGGCAGAGCCAGATAAAAGGCCCGCGGCCCAGTCCCGCCTGCCTGCCGCGCCCGCCGCACATTTGCTCTGTCTGCCCGCCGCGTCCACCCACCTGGCAGCCGCGCCGTGCCCTCCTGCTACTCCCAAGTGCTGTCGGCGACCGGCCCTCCGTTGCCGCCTCCCTCCCTCCCTTCCCTTCCATTCCCCTGCCACCTCCCTCCCTCCTCTGCCTCGTTCAAGGTAATGACGCACTTTTTATTTTCGTTTGAATGGTGGATTGGTATATTATGAATGTGAGTTAAGGTTAGGAGAAAAATTATGTTTGGGAACTGTGTGCTATGGTTTGAAGGAAGATATTAGTTTGATTTTATCAATGTTAAGGTTAATTATTTAGTTAGAAGTATGTTTACTATGTATATTTTTGTTGCTATAAGTGTTGGTTATATTATTTGAGTTGCAATACAAATGATTATATTTTACATTAATTTATGTTGTTTTGATTGATGTTTAATTTGAACCGTTTTATTAGATGGAAGATATGTTTCGAGAGCAGTTGTGGCGGAAACGGGGTCGTCCTAGAGAATTGTACCCCGACGAGTCTAGCATAGATGCCCCCGTCCCTCCTGACCTCCCTGTCCCTAACTGTGACTGTGGTCGTCCGGCCGATGTGTTTCAATCGAGACATCCGGACACAGCGGCTCGTTGCTTCTATACATGCAGTCGTTTTAATGTAAATAATTGTTTTCGTATATTTTTTTTCTTCATTTGTATTACTAGGTTACTAATATTTTGTTGGAATTTTGTTGTGTAGGCCCATGAGAGGTGCTTTTTCTTTTTAGTGGATCGACGGCGCAGACAAGTTTGACCCCAGGTACCTCCTTTTCGACGATTGGTGGAGAGGGCGACATCCACAGGAGCACTTCGAGCGGTGGGTTCCACCTCCCCCTAACCCCCATCCAATGACGGCTAAGGAGAAGCACTTAGCCACAGTTAGATGACTCGAGGAACTTCCTCTGTGCGATTGCGGAGATCGAGCTGTGATAAACCCTGAGAATACGTTGAAGTTTGTGTGTCCAAACAAACATGAAGTAAGTGCAAAGTGTATGTGTTGAAATGTTGAGCTATATGTATTCATGTAATAATGTCACCTTATTTAGGTGTTTTCAATGACGAAGTGTCGTTTCAAGGAGTGGTTGTATAGTCCTAAGAACTAATGGCTGGAAGAACCGCTAAAGGCAAAGCAAAAGAAGAAAGAAAGTTTAATTTACAAAGCACCTCTAGTCAAGTGCGAATGTGGTGTTAAATCCAACTATGGTCTAGTCACTTCGGAGCTTGGAATAGACCATTATTACGGCCATATGGTTGACTATGATGAGGTTAGTTATTTTTGTGGTAAATATGAAATCGTATTTTGTTTCATTTGCTAATACATATATGATATAATTTTTGTTTGAACAGAGCACTAGGAAATGCAGGTGAAAATGTTATGATAGTCAAGCTAAGTTCTTGGATGAATTAAAGGGGAAGCAAGTAATTGCACGGAAGAGGGGATATGGACCTGACTACGTCAACCTATTCGTTAAACATCACAAAGACAAGATGCGTGAGTTTGCTAGACAACGCGGTATTGATAACCCGATCGATGTTGGGCTTGACAAATAGGGATTGGAGAGACGGATGACGTTAGAGGAGGAGAGGGCAAGGAAGGAGGCAAGGGAGGAGACAAGAGTACATATGCAGGTCTTGAAGTGCATGTTGTTGCATTATGTGCCAGTGAGTGTTTGAAATCCTTTTTTTTCGTTGCCTGATTTTTAATGTAATATAATCTCGTTGCTAACTGATTGCATTTTATACATGAAAGGATTGGATGCAGCGAGGAACATGCTGTAGAGGTGGCTCGTGCAAGGTATGAGGAAAAGAAGTTAGATGAGCATAGAACACGAGCTGGTCGTACCGTTGAATCACCGATTGTGTTGTCTGATGAGAGGGACGAGGATGAGGACGACACTGGCAGACTGAGCGAGCTCATCGCTCTAACAGAGGCGGGCTTGCAGACGGAGGAGGCTGAGGATGACACTGGCAGACTGAGCGAGCTCATCGCTCTAGCAGAGATGGGCTTGCAGACGAAGGAGGCTGAGGACGACACTGGCAGACTGAGCGAGCTCATCGCTCTAGCAGAAGCGGGCTTGCAGGCGGAGGATGATGATGATGCATTCTTCACTCAGGCCACAGAGGCCGCAGATGAAGCGGAGGCCGCTTACTACAGGCGAAAGGCAGATCAGGGCAATGTAGGTGACCCTATCCACAACAATAGGGTTGTGGTAGAGGATTAATACTCGGACGACGAGTTGCTTACTCAGTATGTTTCTGACTGGGGGTTTTTGAATTGCACCGTGTATCAAAACTTTCATTGTGTTGTCTTGTTTTTCCATTTGAACTATTGATGTATTGTACCCATGTATCATGTACTCAGATTACCCATGGTCAATCTTAAGTGATCCCATCCGTTTGTCACACTCTGACCTATCCGTTTGTCACTCTCCAAGTTTTTTTAATAATAGCGAATGCATTGAGAATTTCTAAAATGAACAAAATCGACACACCAACCCTAAGCCTAGGTTATGTCTATGTCTAGGTTCTACCATGCCATAGCCCACGGCGCGGCACTGATGCGCCAAGCCCCATGGCGCGGCAGTACCTGGACACAGACAGAAGCTGACCAGCCTCAATTGCAACTGAACGGGAGCTGCTGTCGGTGCTGTAAACAACTACAAGTGCTGCCGCGACCGTGCGCAAGTTGAAACGAATATGAAGCAAATAAATGGAGACCATGCGCAAATTGACAAGTTGCAAGTTTCGGATGACAATATTTGTTCGACATAACCAACTAAATCCCAGGAGTGAAAGGATCCCTCGGACGCCTCTTGGAAACCTCATCGTCGTACTCCACCTCAAGAAGGGGGTACATCTGGTGCGGTGTGGGAGGGGCCGTCCTGTTACAAATTGATAAACAAAGGGTTAGAGTATTCAAATTAACAATATTCAAATTAACATTATGTAGCATTACAAAATTTGAACTACTTGGTATGCAATACAAACATAATATGAAAGCACCTGCTACCCTCATCTTCTATGCATGCTAGCCTTGTGACCAACGACTTTGCAAATAGAGCAAAGATTCCTACCATGGGTCTCGTTGAAGTCTCCCCCTCCGTACATGTCTTCGCCGTACCCTCTCATAGCGTCCATGTCCCCCTTGAGTCACTTCTTCTTCCTCCTACGCTTCCCTACCTTCATTAGATCCGAATGCAGCACGTAGTCATAACCATTATAAGGTGGCCACTGTGTCGGGTCAAGGTATGGCTCGAAGCTCATCTCCCAAATACTAACGGTGTTCGAACGGTGATACAAGGGTGACATATATGGCAGATCCTCATAGTTGTACCCGCGAACCCTGCAGGCCGTGATCATATGAGAGCAAGGGGCATGCATGATCTGAGAGACATTGCAACCGCACTCTACCTTTTCAAGATCAACTCGGTAGTTTCGTCCACCATAACGTTCGCCGCCCAAGCTTATGCCACCCTTGCCCCGTACACTAAAGATATGGCAGCGGGGTCCATACGGCTCAACGGTGTGCTGCTTGGATAATTCCTTGGCCTCCTTCAAATGTTCTGCTCTGGCCTTTCCAAAATGCCCTTGCTCAGCTATATTGCTCTGCGCAAGTTCCCACCTCTTGACAAAATATTCGTTGCACTTATGAAAGGAGAACTCAACAATTCCAGACACAGGCAACGATCAAACTCCGGTGAATACACGGTTGAAGGACTCCAAGGAGTTAGTGGTCATAATGCCATACCTGAAACCCCCTCGTCATATGCTAAC